ATGCTTAAGTTATACTAGTATGGAGGTATATTTCCATATTTCATGCACTCTTTTATTAGTCAGGGCATAACATCTTATAACAGTGGTTCCCAAAGATTTTCTTCTGGGCCCCCCTTTGGATTACAACAAAATTTCCATCTTCTCAAATCCATCTTCTCAAATCTGGGTTGCAGTGTCACAACTGTCCATTATGCTCAGTCAAGCAAACACTGCTTTTTTTTTTTTTTTTTTTTCATTCATCCATACCGCTTCCCGCGCCCCCCCTGCAATGGCATTGCGCCCCCCATAGGGGGCGCGCCCCACACTTTGGGAACCACTGTCTTATAAGATGTTCTGTTGTATATAAGAATATATAAAACAAAAGAGGCATGTGGAAGCACTATACAGGTCTATGCTGGTATCTTGCTTCAACCTTGTTTCAGTGAATCTTACCTTCCTTCTCATTTGCAGGCTTCCCGTCGCTGGTTGGACGATGAGCTAACAGCTCGCCTTGCTGTCCAGACCCAGGCCTTCTCCCTCCTTCACTCCTCTCTATCCAGTGAGGATGGTTCCACCGCCACCTACGAGAGAATCTACCCTCCATGCGCAGACTACCAGGAGCCGTCACGCCTCATCCGCAAACTGCCTGAATTTGCGGAGTGCTCAGAACACCTTGGTAAGCTTGGGAAAATCAAAGTCTGAGTATCGTTAAGAGCAGCTGAAGTATCATATCTCGTACCTCATGGTTTTTCTTCTAGAGTCCGGGGCCTCTGGTAGAGCAGTTGTTGGTTCGGATGGCGCTCCACACTATGCAGAAGCAGATATCATCAGTCTGCAGGAGTCCTCTGACAGCAGCTCCATCAGAAGTGTCAATATGAACCTGTTTGCTGGATCAGACGCAATCCTGAGGGAGTTCCCTAGAGAGAAGCTAACCTTTAAGGAGAAACTGGGAGAGGGTCAGTTTGGGGAGGTGAGTTCCTTTAAGTATGATAAACTCATTTTTACTCTTTCAAGTTGTTCTCTATAAACATAAAGGAATAACCTTAATTCTGAAGTGAAACCAGTTGTGTTGGATCAGGTGTCTATAAACTGCTTCTCCTTCCTCCTACAGGTGCACCTATGTGAGGCAGATGGTATACAGGACTTTTTAGATGAGGATTTGACAGTGGAAAGTAACAGTGAATTACCTCTGCTTGTTGCGGTGAAGAAGCTACGGGAAGATGCAAATAAAAACGCCAGGTGAGGGTAGCTGGCGAACAGGTAGAAGAGTGGCTATGTCTCCAGCTCATATAGCTGTTTCCCTGCTGTGCTGCAGGAACGACTTCCTGAAGGAGATCCGAATCATGTCTCGTCTGAGGGACCCCAACATTGTACGCCTGCTGGCTGTGTGTGTGGATACGGACCCTCTGTGTATGATCACAGAGTATATGGAGAATGGGGACTTAAACCAGTTCCTCTGTGGTCTCAGACTAAAGGCCCTGAATGACGATAGGGAAGACCAGGAGGAAGGGAACGGTGGAGTCAGGTAATAGATATTTATACAGTTTAGACTTTGTAACGTCAC